CAACAGGGGGCAGCACTACAACGGCCTGCGGCAACTGCCCATGCCAGGCACAGTGTGCCCAGGCGGTCGCCAATGCCCCCACCCACGGCGGGAACAGCCAAGGCTGCCCTGCCACTCGTCCCCACGGCGACAACCACGGCCGCTGCAAGCTCTTGCAGCGGCCAGGGTATCCCAGCACCAAAGGAGGTTCCTTCGACCTCTAGCCCAAGAGGACCGAAGGTTTCGCCCCCCGAGGTGATGGAAACCTCAAGGTTGGCCTATATGAAGGCCTCGTCCCATCAGGCGAGGTCCCAAGCCCAAAATATCAGCTCGCAAATGCGGGCACGCAGTGCCTCTGAGAAGGCAATGGACACCACGGTACCCCTGGTGCAGAAAGATCGGCGTAGCTCCCTGGAGCGCGCCAAAAGAAATAAAAAGCTAATAACGGGGCCCGCCGACGGCCCTGTTCTTTGAGTCTTAACGCTTAGCTTAAGAAGCACACACCCATTTTTCCTTACACACAGCACTACGTTACCTCCAATATGGCAACACAAATAATACATTGGAACGTCAGAGGACTCCTTAGAAACCTCGATGATGTTCACGAGCTCTTTTGCAAATATTCGCCGAAAGTGCTGTGTGTACAGGAAACTCACTTAAAATCTAAAAACACGAATTTTTTGCGTCGGTATGCTCTCTTCCGAAAGGACAGAGATGAAGCTGCGGCATCATCCGGCGGTGTAGCCATTATTGTTAATCAAAAAGTAGCATGCACACATTTACCACTACAAACAACACTAGAGGCAGTGGCTGCTCGAGCAGTTCTTTTCAACAAGCTCGTCACCATCTGCTCTCTGTACATACCCCCACACCACCGCCTTGGAAAACTAAAATTCGAGTCCCTAATAGATCAGCTACCCGAACCTTATTTGGTCCTTGGTGACCTGAATGCTCATAGCAGTCTATGGGGTGATTCTCGCTGCGATGCACGAGGTCGTCTGATTGAACTGTTCCTTTTTTCCTCCGGTGCCTGTCTGGTAAATAGGAAAGAGGCAACATATTATACCCTTGCCAACAAAACCTACTCTTCCATAGATCTCAGCATCGCATCTCCTTCACTTGTGCCATTACTTCGATGGAAAGTTCTAAATAATCCCTACGGAAGTGACCAATTTCCTGTTGTTTTGAGTACACAAACATCATACGAATGTCCTCCACGAGTTGCCAAATGGCTCATACACAAAGCCGACTGGGAACAGTTTCATAACAATGCTCAGTTATGTTGGATATAGATGAAGCTGTGCAGTACTACACAGCTCTCCTTATTAACGCAGCAGCCAAATGCATCCCACAAACATCTGGACAGCCCGGCAAGTGACACGTTCCATGGTGGAACACACAGTGTCGTAATGCGCGAAAGGAACCGATTAGGGCATGGAGATTGCTGCGAAACTCGCCGACAGCGGAAAACCTTGAGAGCTTTAAAAAAATAAAGTCTCAAGGCAGGAGAACGCGTCGGCAGGCCAGAAGAGAAAGCTGGCAGAAGTTTTTGTCAGGGATAAATTCATACACATAGGAGGCTAAAGTCTGGAACATGGTCGGTAGGATAGCAGGAAAACAAGTACACACACTTTTACTCGTAAACACTCAGGGTGATACCTTGGAAGATCAGGCAAACTTCCTCGGTGCACACTTTGAACAGATATCCAGCTCGTCCCACTATACCGACACTTTCCAAAAACACAGAACAATAATACACAAACACAAATCCACTAGATACGAGGCGTATAACCAAGCTTTCAGTCTAGCTGAGCTCCAAACATCTCTAAACTCCTGCAGTACTTCTGCCCCAGGTTCTGACCGTGTGGTGTATGAAATGTTAAAAAACCTACCAGCCGAAACACGAAAAACCTTACTTTGTTTATACAATGCTATCTGGTTTTCTGGTGTTATTCCTACCTCCTGGAAAGAGGCTATTATTATTACCATTTTGAAAGAGGGCAAGGACCCTTCTTTAGCTTCAAGCTATAAACCTATTGCACTTACAAGCTGCTTGTGCAAAGTCTTCGAAAAAATGATAAACTGCCGACTTGTACATATCCTTGAAGCAAACAGTTTGCTCGACCCATTTCAGTGCGGATTTGGAGAAAGTAGATGCACCACAGACCACCTTGTGCGTATCGAGGCTCAGATCAGAGCCGCCTTTCTCCATAAACAATATTTTCTCTCTGTGTTCCTCGATATCGAAAAGGCTTATGATACAACATGGCGTTTTGGAATTCTAAGAGACCTGTCCCACCTTGGCGTGCGCGGAAGAATGTTTCACATAATCGAAAGTTACTGTCAAACCGGACATTCCGTGTCCGAGTGGGCACGGTTCTTTCCCAAACATTTGTCCAGGAAACAGGCGTGCCACAAGGTGGTGTACTTAGCTGCACACTTTTTCTCATCAAATTGAATTCCTTGCACTTGTCAATCCCCCGCAATATGTTCTATATTACATATGTCGACGACGTCCAGCTTGGCTTCAAGTCATGCAACTTGGCAATGTGTGAGTGGCAGGTTTAGCTGGGTTTAAACAAGGTCTCCAAATGGGCAGATGAAAACGGATTTCGACTTAATCCACAAAAAATCACGTGTGTCTTCTTCTCTCGAAAGAGAGGCATGCACTCGGAACCTGACATTCGACTGAACGGGCAACGTCTGTCCGTCAAAGCCGAGCATAAATTCTTAGGCTTAATCTTGGACAACAAGTTGACCTTCGTACCCCACATAAAGTATTCAAAAACAAAATGTTTAAAAGCCATGAATGTTATAAGAGTGTTGTCACGTACTACGTAGGTTGGTGACAGGAAATGGCTCATGAACCTGTATAGAAGCCTTTTTCGCACCCGCTTAGATTATGGGGCCATTGTTCATCAGTCTGCGACTCAAAGTGCTTTGAAGATGCTCGATCCCGTGCCCCATTTGGGCATCCGCCTTTCTACGGGTGCTTTTTGCACCAGCCCCGTAGAAAGCCTTTACGTTGAGTCAAATGAGTGGTCGCTTCATCTGCAAAGAACCTACATGTCCTTTGTAAATTTCCTTCAGGTGAAAGCAGAGAAGAGGCACCCCTCATACTTCACTATTATAGATTTGTCGAGCTCCATTCTTTTTCAAAACAGGCCTTCAATGAGGCAGCCCTTCTCAGTTTGCCTGAAGGGTCTAGCTGAGGACACTGGAGTGTCACTCGAACACAGTTTAATGGCTCCTGTAGCATACCCGCCACAGTGGCAGTGGCAGACTATAGATTGCGATGTGTCTTTCCTAGAAGTTACTAAACATGCGCCTATTGCCCATATTCGAACACACTTCTTGGAACTTCAACACAAATACACACGTCCTGAGTTTTTTACAGATGCCTCTAAGTCTAACTCCTCTGGGTCTTACGCTGCTGTTGGCCCTTCCTTTTCGGATGCTGGCTCTCTACATCCAGGCACAAGTATCTTCACAGCGGAAGCTTACGCGATACTTGTGGCAGCTAAACACATCAAACAATCTCAAATACAAAAAACAGTAATTTATAGAGACTCCCTCAGTGTGGTAACGGCTCTGCACAGTCTTAAAAAACAAAAAAACCCTGTCCTCGTTTCACTTTACTCCATTTTATGCACACTCTACACACTCAACCGACATGTTGAAGTGTGCTGGGTGCCAGGGCACCGTGAGATTCAAGGCAACGTGATGGCGCATCAGCTTGCTGCATCCGTCCACGAAAGCACCGCCATTACACCCACATCAATCCCGGCCCTTGTTCTTAAGCCGTCTCTCAAACTAAAGCTCAGGGACTACTGGCAGAGCAAGTGGGATACACACACACAAAACAAACTACACGTTATCAAGCCACAACTTGGTCATTGGCCACCAGTATCAAAATCACGTCACACAGAGGTAACATTAACGAGGATCAGGATAGGACACACATACACGACACACTCATATCTTTTCTCCGGTGGCGATCCACCATTGTGTGACAGATGTGGTGAAGCACTAACAGTTCTTCACATTTTAATTCAGTGCAAACAATTGGACACTCTAAGAAAACAACACAACACTTTCCTTCACCCTACCGACAACATATACCTTTACACCCTGCAATGTTCGTCGGTAGGGAACCGCTTTTTAGTCACAAATCATTGTTAGCATTTTTGAAAAAAAAATGATAGCTTTCATGTCATATACCCGGGCATACCGTAGCATGACCTCTCCAGAGGTTTTTGCTGCGGTGGCTACACAATAAAGCACTTGCCTCACGGCCCTTGGACGCAAGGGTATGAACCAGTGGGGCACTTGTGATATTGCCATACATGTCCACCATCGTTTTTATTATCATTAACTTTTGCCATCTATTCGCACCACACACACCTTTCACGGCATGGTCATGATTTTAATAATTGTATGTTTTTACCCGCCTTACCGCGAGGAATTTTATGGCCCTTATACAGCCGCTTATCACAATCATTGTCCACATTCCTGTCTTATGAACTGGCGCTCTTTGGCCATCAAATGGCCCTTGCGCCAAAAACACCATATATCATCATCAACAGTTATAGACAATGAGAATTCTTGTGAAACGTTCTCGCAAATTTTCGTGCTTCTGCAAAACCGAAACAGATGGCAATCTGTACGATGCTTATGGAGTTATATTTAGCATGTGTAATCTGTATTTCCTGATTTGCCCACGACTTCATGTTTGTTTTTTAAAAGGCGCTTCGCTTCCTCTAATGTCATTGTGATGGGTAAAGAGAAATGTTAGAAACAGTTGAGGTGTAGCGCTTTAGGTCAAAATGGCGGTATTCTGTTTGTATGGAGTGCGAGAACGGTGGTTATCCACATTCAAATGCAATGGGTTAAAAAACTCCAGGTTGTTAAGAGAAATTCAACTACACTGTTGCAGTTTTTGTTGTGCCACACAAAGCTCTAATATTTTTTTAGACTTGCTTGTGATTCTGAATTTTCGCGTCTGCTTTTCTGTCTTCCAGGAGCCTGAAGGCGATATGAACCAGTCTCCGACAGCGTTAGTCTCGGCTGCTTCTGCCCAAGAATTTGAACTTCAAGGCGTGGACGACTACGCCATCATCGATGAACGCGAAATCAACGAAGCGCTAAATGCCAACAACTAATAGCGTCTTCCTTGAAATCTGCATGCGAAGCTTACGAAGAAAGGCGAATAGTTATACCGAATTTCACAGCTCCATTGAATTGGAATGCTCGATTTCAGAGCGTTACACAAAGGTTGCAAATGAAAATGTTAAGTGCGATTACTGCATGTAATAGAGCAGGTAGGAGAGCACTGAACAAGGGACACCAATTGTGTTCTTTCTCTATCAGTGGCACGGCAAAGTTCCATTCCGCTAGAAGATTCGTGTAATTGTTTGCACCAGCGTGTGCGCAAGCAGCTCTTGCCTTAAGCTGACTTTCGTGTTTATTTGGTATGACAAATGGAGACTTTACTGATTGCTTCTGAGAATCCACCTGTGGACATACAGTTTCGTGTAAGGATTTGTGTTGCATGCACGTTGCGCTGCCAACGCGTACAAGCAGCCTCAGCAAATAAATCTTATTTTCCGGCCTCAATAAAGATACAGTGAAAATACTAAATGGTAGTAATTCGACCTGCACCAAAAGCTACGCGTACAGCCGCGGAAACAAGAGTGTGTGCGCTGTGTTGTCACTTTCGCTTGTCTTGTCTACGCGTCTCACCATACTGTACCATACTGTACCATATCACCTACTGTACCATATCAGTATCATCATCAGCAGCGGCCTGATTACGGCCACTGCAGAACAAATACCTCAACGATGTTCCGCCAGTCAACTCAGTCATGTGCTTGCTGCTGCCACTTTATACTCGCAAACATACTATTATCATCTGCCCACCTAACTTTGTCTCCCCTACGCACGCTTGCCTTCTAAAAAAAATCCAGTCTGTGCTCCTTGCTGACCAGCGGTTATCTTCCCTTCTCGCTGCGGGCCCTGTCCATCACCAATTCTTCTTCTTGACTTCAATTATGATGTCCTTAACGGCCGCTTGCTCACTGATAAACTCTGCTCTCTTCTCGTCACTAAGTGTTGCACCTCTCATTTTCCTTTCCATGGCACGCTGCGTCGTCCTCAACGTAACTTGAACCCTCTTTGCAATCCTTCAAGTTTCTGCTTCGTAGATAAGTACCGGTAAGATTTAGCTGTTATATACCTTCCTCATAAAACATAGTGGCATTCTAGCATTCAAAACTTGGTAATGCTTGCCTTATGTGCTTCGCCTCATTCTTATTAACTGCGAAACATTTTTAGCGAACTTCGGCGACTTTGAACGTATGTATTGTGATGAAGAGTGGCGCGGCAGCTGTGGGCCATGAACTGGACAGCGAGGAAGAAGAGGCAGAATAGAACAGCTTGCCCCCAGGAACACACAAACTCTTCTGTTTTAAATGGCACAGATTTTCAGCACCTTAAGTTTCAGGATACAGCGCTTGGTGTCCAACAAGACAATTCGAAGGGACATTCACTAAATTACGATGCAGGATTCTAGCTTTAAACTTTTATTTATACAGACCTTTTTTTGTTCCTTTCCTTCATTGTCACTATTATACACAAATAGAAACTGTAGAGCACATTTTGACAAAATGCCGCCGGTATGAAAATTTAAGGAAAAAATTTCTAATACCAGCTTTCCAAAAACACGGGCTTCAGCTGTCTGAAACGGTACTACTTTCCCTAGAGGCTTCGGAACTAGGTCATTGAAACAAGCACATATATGTAGCCATATATAACTATATGAAGGAATCAAACCGGCTACCATGCTAATTTCATAAGTACATACTCCTTACTTATTTTCGTCTTTAGTCTATTTCGCATATTTTACTGTATCTTATTTATATTGTATCGCAGTCCCGTTCGATTCATGGCCGATCACCCGTAGTGGGTTGAGCCATTCCTCTTGGGACCAACCAACCAACCAACCCGACGAACGGGTGTTGTCTGCCTCGCCCATTACAATGTCGCAGCCGTTCAACGAACCTGTGCGTGACGACCTGCGTGAAGAAACCGTCCTACGGAGCGGACGCACTCTTCAGTGGCCCGCAGCTCCTGCTACAGTGGCCATGGCATCCGACCTGGCCACCGCGGGTACCGAAGCCAGCGCGCTGCCTGCAGGCGTCCTTGCCAAATCACAATGTGACTCCACTGACATGGCTTCGAAAACCGCCTCCTTGCCCAGGGACGCCGTACACGCTCCCTTGGAATTCGCCTCGGGTATCATCCCTGGAGCAACATCAGTACTGTCGCCAGAAGACAGGAGTAATTGCTCGCCTGTAGCCGCCAGCCAACTCTGCACGGTTCCGCAGGCCATCGCTACTTCGAGCCAGCTTATTGCAGACGCCACCGTCACCTTCTCAGCAGCCTGTGCACGCACCACGTTGCCTCCTCCGTCCATGGCTGAAATTCCTGACTTTACTGGCATTGATCAAGGCCCAACCATCTGGCTGGATGAAATCCATTCATCGGCCCGTCGACATGCATGGACTGACGACGTGACGCTATCGCTAGCCGTAAGCCGACGGTGCGAGTCCACCAAAGCGTGGCATCAATACAAGGCTGCAAGTACAAATCCTAGAGTGACTGGACTTCCATCCGCATACAACGACCATTTCATGCGCATGCGATCACGTCGGCAGGCTCCATCGGAAGACGCCCGTAAATACGTCTACGATAAGCTCGGGCTTCTCGACAAATGTGGCATTACATAGATCTCTCCGCCTGCCCGCCAGTATGTCGTTGTTGACTTGGCTGACACTACCCACGCTGCCATCTTATATTGCCAGTCACCTGAAGCGTCACGCTAGCTTTTCGCTCAAAAGGCAGCCGAACTTCAGCAGTACTCTCGTCGTCGGCATAACTTGGGCACATTACCGACTGTCCGTTTGACTTACGCCTCCGCACGACACGGATGCTTCAAGTGCGGTCACATTTGCCACAACGCCAAGGAGTGTAGTCAACCGTTCCAGACCCGAATCCGCTACCAAGCTTGTCAAATTCTTCGGATGTCCATTCATGTTGAGGGAAAAGGTCACCTATCCGCCCTGGTGGATACCAGTGCGGAACGAATGGCGCAACACCGACGTCATGCTCCAGACGTTATCTGACAGTGGACACAGCCTCCCCTGTGTGGTCTTGGAGGAAATGCCGTGCCTGTCGGAATGCTCGACATTTCAGTCCGGACGGTGGCGGGCACTAAAGTTCTTCCAGCCATTCCCGTCTTTGAAAGCCTTCCTGCCGACATGATCTTTAGCGCTGACTTTTTGCTATCTGATGACATTGAGCTCACCATACATCGCGGCCACGTCGAGCTCCGGTCTTCGACAGCTGGGACTACTGCCATAACCCTGCCACCACCGACAGTTGAGCCATCCACTCCGCCTTCCTTATGTTCTATATTGGCTCGCCATCAGCAAGTATTCGCTAGCAATACAGCAGAACTGCCAGGAACTAATTTGCTGTTCCATCGCATACCAACGGCAGATCATCCGCCATCATGCGTACCACTGCGACGATACGCTGAACGAGAACGGGCAGTGATCGCAGAACAAGTAGATAAAATGCTTGCCGCGGGCATTATTAGGCTGTCATCGAGTCCGTGGGCAGCGCCAGTCGTCCTTGTTCGCAAGAAGAACGGATCACTACGCTTCTGCGTGGACTACAATCTGCTCAATAAGTGTACAATGCCTGACTCCTACTCTTTACCCCGCATTAATGATGCTTACGACACAATACGTCACTGCAAGTTCTTTTCGTCGCTTGATTTACGCGCAAGGTACTGGCAGATTAAAGTCGCGAAGGAAGATAGGTGTAAAACGGCCTTTCGCCCACCTTTCGGTTTGTATGAATTCAACCGCGTGCCGTTTGAACTAAGAACGACTCCTAGCACTTCTCAGCGTGCGATGAATTCAGGTCTCGGACTATTGAAAAACCAAGCCTGTGTGGTGTATTTAGACGACATCCTGGTCGTTGGCATGGTGGAAGATGAACACCTTCGAAATTTGTACGAATTACTACACAGACTCTATGCAGCAGGGTTTCGTTTGTATCAAGAGAAATGCTGATTTGGGGTGTCTCTCGTACCTGGTACATAATATATCTCCTGTCGGCATTCAGGCACTCCCGGAGCGAATAGCTGCCGTGTCGCAGTATCCCACACCAACATGCTTGAAGCAGGTTCAGTCATTCCAAGGTATGGCCTCGTATTTGTGAAGGTTTATTCCCCACTTCTCTTTGATCGCAGCTCTCTTGAGCAGTCTTCTTAAAAAGGACGCGCGTATAAAAAAAAGCTCACTTGTTGCCCCATACTAAGTCACTTCAATTCAGACTGGTCCACCGAAGTGCACACTGATGCCAGCCAAATCGGCCGAGGAGCTGTGTTTGTGCAGCGTGATCCAGATCGCGTGGAACACTGGGTCGCTTATGCCAGCCGAAAACTTTCAGACACCGAGTGCCCCCATCACTCCAATGAGCTTGAATGTCTTGCAACGGTATGCAGCGTCGATGATAAGTTTCGACCTTATCTTTTCCGGCGTAAATTCACTGTTGTGACTGATAATGCTGCTATAGTATGGATGTTATCCAAGCAGCAACTTAAGCACAAATTTACCCGGTGGATAACCACACTGCCAGAATACGATTTTGACGTGCGCCACCACGCCGGGCAGCTAAACAACGTCGCCGATGCACTCTCACGGAACCCCCTTGATTGCGCGCAACAAACCAGGCAAACCCACATTTTTTTCGCCCAGATGGATATATTCCGAGCCCAACAGGAGGATCAAAATATGGCATCCGTTATTGCATCTTTCACTGACAAAGGAAATCACAGTACTTTTGTGATGCGCAATGCCGTATTGTACCGGCGTCCGTGGCGAGCGGAATGATCCGAAGAACGTTACCTCCTGGTGATCCCTAAATCCCACAGGTCAGACATATTACGAGTCATTCACGACTCCCCAGAAGGCGGACTCACCGGCCAACGAGCCACGCTCCGGAAACTACAAGAACGTTTTTGGCGGCCGAAGATGCAAAGTAGCGTTCGTTCTTATGTCACCAGTTGCAAAATTTGTCAGCAGTTTAAGCGATTGCCTGGGTGTCAACCTGGATTACTAACACCAATCCAGATACCCGAAACGATTTTCTACACGATTAGCATTGATTACATGGGACCTCTACCCACCACCACTGCAGGAAATCGTTACGTCATTGTAGCAGTAGACTACCTGTCAAAATACGTGGAAGTGGAAGCTGTGCCATCTCTTGCATCCACTTACCTAATCGAATTCCTCAAGCACCGATTTGAACGGAGACATGGCTTACCAAAAAAGTTAATATCTGATCGGGCGACAACGTTTCGTAGCAGGGAAATGAAAAAGTACCTTTGCACGGCAGGCGTGCAGCACCACTTCGCATCAGCGTTTCATTATCAAGCAAACGGCCTTACTGAGAGAACTAACCAGAGCATCCTGGCACGACTCGCTCTATATATGATGCAGGGAAAAGATGATAGGCCGACTGGGACGTCCACCTTCCGTCAGCCTCTTTTGCGATTAACACGGCAC